CTGCCGTTTCTCTTGCTGACCCCTCCGGCGGTCCGGTAGTCGCCCGCAGTTCCACCACCCTTCCCTGTCCGGCGGTTCCTTCGGGTTCTCTTACAGGTCTGCATATCCCCTCGTTCTCCAGGAACCTAGTTGGTGTCGGCTGCCTCCAGGACCTTTGCGTCACCACTACGTTCCCTGGCCACGAGCGGTATGCTGTCTGTACCGAGGCCCCACTGGTGCCCCCCTGTCCACGTTCCCCCGGGACCCGGTGTCCGGCCTGTTCACTCTGGACACCGTGACCCCCCCGGCTGGAGCGCCCCCTCAGGTGGCTGCGTCTACCCAGGTTGCTGCTGCCTGCTCCTGTCGCTCCCTCACTCACCCGACCCTCCTGTGGCACCACCGCCTAGGTCACCCTGCGCTCCCGCGTCTGCATCACATGTCCCAGCACGGTCTCGTCCTTGGTCTCCCAGGTTCACTCCCCGCGTTTCCCTCCTCTCCAGCCCCACCTTGCACGCCTTGTGTCGAGGGTCGGCTTCGCCGTGCCCCTCACTCCTCCTCGTTTCCCCCTACCGCCGCGCCGCTGCAGACCCTGCACCTGGACGTCAGGGGCCCCGCCCCCGTCCCTGGGCCGCGTCGAGAGCGCTACTTCCTTGTGCTTGTCGACGACTTCACTCGTTACACCACAGTCTTTCCCCTGGAGCGCAAGGCCGACGTGCCTGGCGCTCTCATCCCCTGGCTTGTCTCTGCGCGTGTCCACCGCGGTCTCCCTGTCTTGCGTCTTCACTCAGACCGTGGTGGTGAGTTTGCCTTAGGTGTCCTTGGTCGCTTTTGTCGTGCGGAGGGCATCACCCAGACGTTCACCCTACCGGACTCCCCACAGCAGAATGGGGTCGCTGAGCGACGCATCGGTTTGGTCATGGAGGTGGCTCGCGCCTCCATGATCCATGCCAGTGCACCCCATTTTCTGTGGCCGTTCGCTGTGCGCTACGCTTCTCACCAGCTTAACCTGTGGCCGCACCCTCAGCAGCCGCAGGTTTCGCCGACCCGTCTTTGGACTGGGTCTCCTGGTGACGCGTCTGCGTTCCACGTCTGGGGCTGCCTTGCTCACGTCCGTGCCTCCGGCACGGACAAGCTCACTGCCCGCACCCTTCCCTGCGTCTTCCTCGGTTTTCCCCTAGACGCGTCCGACTGGCACTTTTACCACCCGCCGTCTCACCGCTTCTTTCACTCTCGTGACGTCACCTTTGACGAGTCCGTCTCCTACTACCGCCGCTTTCCCCACCGTGGTCCCCCGGTTACCCCCCCCCTGTTCCTGGTCACCCCTTCCCCGGTAGTCCCTGCCCCTCCTCCTCCTCCTCCCCGTCCCGCCCCCTCTGGTGTGTCCCACGTCACCCCCCTTCCGTCCGTGGACCCGGTTGAGGAGTCTTCTGACTCTGGTGGCCCTCCTATGCAGTCCTCGCCGGCCGCCCCTCCCCAGGTGTCCCCTCCCCAGTCCCCTCCTCCACCGCCACTACCGCTGCTGCAGCCGTCGTCGTCGCCGCAGCCGCCGCCGCCGCCGTCGCCTCCGCCGCCGCCGCCGCCGCCGTCGCAGCCCCCGTTCGCTGACTCTGGGGGTGCTCGTCCCGGTCGCCCTGAGGGTGGTCCCTCTGGGGGTGCTGGTGTGGAGCGTTCCGGTGGTAGCCGAGGAGCCGCTTCCGGTCCAGGTGTTGCCGTTGTGCCGCCGCAGCAGCAGTCCCCGCCGGTGTCCGCCCTTCGCCTGCTCGGCCTTCCATCCCCTGACCCTGCATCGGTTCCTCCCCGACCGTCTCCTCCTCTTCCTGTCTACGGCCCTGTTTTTCCTCCGCCGGACTCGTCCCCGGCTCGTCTCCCCCCTCGTTCCCCTCCTCTGTCCCCTCCCCTGTCTCCTGACCCGACTCCTCCGTCGCACGTCTGGTCTCACCGCCCCTCCCGTGCTCGTCCTGCCTCGCCTGTCTTGCGCTCCCACCCTATGTTGCTTCGTTCCCACGCGTCTCGCCCTCCCCTTCTGCCGTCGCCTCCTCCGTCCTCCCTTGTTGTTGCGCCCCCCCCGCTGTCCGACTACCTTCGTGCCGCTCGTCCTCTTGTTCCTCGGGTCCTTGCCTCTCTCGTTACCGACCCGTCTGTTCCTGTCTCGTGCCTTGACGCTCTTGTCGCTGCTGTCGCTGACTTCGCCTCTACCCGCCGCCTTGACTACGCCACCGCTCTGGTCTCTGACCCTGCCTGTCCTCCGTCTGTCGGGGGTGCTCCTGCCCTTGGCAGTGACGTCCTGGAGGACCGCCAGTTCGAGCTTGCTTTCCTCTCCGAGGCTGCTCCCCATCTCTGTTCCATGCTGCTAGTCCCTGAGGGTGACCCAGACGCTTTCGACATCCCGACCCCTCGCACTTACGCTGAGGCGACTTCGGGACCCTGGGCCTCGCAGTGGATAGCTGCCATGGAGCAGGAGATGGCATCTTGGAGATCCACCGGCACCTTCGTCGACGCAGTTCCCCCACCTGGGGTGAATGTAGTCGATGGCCGCTGGCTCTTCAAGGTGAAGCGCCCTCCTGGAGAGCCGCCTGTCTTCAAGGCGCGCTATGTGGCTAGAGGCTTCAGTCAGCGCGAGGGGGTGGACTTCTTCCAGACTTTCGCTCCGACCCCGAAGATGACTACTCTTCGGGTTCTGTTACACCTAGCTGCTCAGCGTGACTACGAGCTTCACTCCCTCGACTTCTCCACTGCCTTCCTGCAGGGCAGCCTACACGAGCAGGTCTACCTGCGTCGCCCTCCGGGCTTTACTGGCACCTTCCCTCCTGGGACCCAGTGGCTCCTGCGGCGCCCCGTCTACGGCCTGCGCCAGGCTCCCCGTGAGTGGCACGACACTCTACGTGCTACCCTTGCTGACCTGCAGTTCTTTCCGTCTTCCGCAGACCCTTCACTCTTCGTTCGTGCTGGCCAGACTCCGTTCTACATCCATGTTTACGTCGACGACCTGGTCTTTGCCACGGCAGACAGGGAGGCACTGGCCTCCGTGAAGGCAGAGCTGCTGAAGAGACACACCTGCACTGACCTTGGAGAACTGCGCCGTTACCTTGGCTTGCAGATCTCCAGGGACAGAGCTGCGTGCACCATCACCCTGACTCAGTCACACTTGGTGCGCCAGGTCCTTCAGAGGTTCAGCCTTCAGTTCTCCTCTGCACAGCCCACCCCTCTGCCTGTAGACCACAGACTCTCCGCTCCAGTACCTGAGGAGTTGGTAGAGCCCAGCAGCCCCTACGCAGAGCTGGTGGGTTGCCTCATGTACCTGATGACTTGCACTCGCCCAGATCTCGCATACCCTCTCAGCATCCTGGCGGGCTTTGTGGCCACAGGCAGACACCGACCGCAGCACTGGTCTGCCGCTAAGAGGGTTCTGCGTTATCTTGCTAGTACATCGGGCATGGGGTTAGTGCTTGGAGGACGCAGGCTAGTGGTCCTTACTGGACACACAGACGCTTCGTGGGCAGACGACGCTGAGACACTCAGGTCTACCCAGGGCTACTGCTTCAGCCCTGGCTCAGGTGCCGTCTCGTGGAGAGCTACTCGCTCCTCGTCTGTTGCGCAGTCCAGCTGTGAGGCTGAGATCTACGCTGGTGCCATGGCGGCACAGGAGCTCCGCTGGCTGACCTTCTTGCTCACTGACTTAGGTGAGCGGCCTAGCTCTGCCCCGGTCCTGTTCGCTGACAACAGGGCCATGATCCTCCTGTGTCAGGAGCCTCGACTCGAGGGCAGAGCGAAGCACATTCAGCTGCGGTACTTCCTCCTGCGAGAGCTACAGCAGCGACGTCAGGCTCGCGTAGTACACTTGGCCTCAGGTGCCAACACAGCTGATATCTTTACGAAGGCGCTTGCGCCTAAAGATCATCAGCGGCACTGTGTACAGCTTGGTCTAGTTCCTGTCGCTTCTCACTTGCTAGGACCTTGACTTGTACTGTCCTTTATATGTATACTCAGACTGGACTTGTGTCCTCTCCCAGTGGCTGGACTAGTAGTGCCGCCCTGGTCTTGTTCTTTCCTTGTCTGTACTCCTTCTGACTGGTCTCTCAGACCCTTGTCTCAGAGGTTGGACTAGTAGTGCCGCCCTGAGCTGCTTGTTTAGGGTATTCCCCTATGCAGTCTAGGGGGTGTGTCAAACATCTGTATTTGTCATGTTTGTATAGACTGTATAGGGTTACTTCTTAGAGGGTACAACACTTAGGTATATTTGTGTGTACTCTCACTTTATCATCATTCAATTCCAATTCTGATACATGATTGCTGCTCAACCAGCATCGTCACGCAGAGGGTAGCTTCGGAGATTTCGCCCTGTTGGCGGAGCAACGCTTTACATGGCCGTCATTCCGGGGTGAGTCCGGCGAGCACTATCGTCACGAGCATGTCTTCGGTAATGTTATTGCCAAGTTTGACGATTTGGTCACCGATGCTACAGCAGCGGTTGATGTAGACGTTGGCCTTTTCTCTGGAGGCCATCTTTACTTCTATTAGCTTATATATATTCTACTTCTGGTGTTGCCATTGTGTATTCAAACTTAGGTTGTATCGACTAAATTCTCGCAGTTTGAACCACATAACACAAGGTTTGTCTTTTCGATGGTGTAGATATTGTTATTCATATTTTGTCATACAAAATCCCTACCGAGCCGCATGCGCAGTAGACGCGGCTTGTGCAGGTCCGTCCAGTGAGGTGTCGCGGTTTGCAAACCTGCGCAGGTTGGTTCCACATTTTGCGATGTATGACTCCAAGCCAAGCTCGTCGCTTGGAGGGAATCCTTCTCGCACCCTATGCTGCGCCTCCCAGCCACTGACCAGCCAGAGCCACAGACAAAAGGGTCTCATGCCACGGAGTCACCGACCCCTACATCCCTTCCCTTCCGTCCCTCCATGTGCCGCACCAGCCCCAGCCTGAACAGCAGCCGTTGAATCTGCACTTGCCTCCCCCCCACTGATTACCATCAGTTAGCATGTCCCCGTTCTGCCCCACTTTCTTTCCGCAAAACATGCGCGATCCTGGGGTCGAGGTTGTACCGTGCTTCCCAATCGCCGCCACAGCAGCGCACGTCGCATCCTCCGTTTCCGCCCTACAGAGCGCTCGCTTCTGAGCCTTCCACCCGTCACAAGTCCTCGGTGCCCTGCAACGGTGCGCGATCGATGCAAGGGTGGCTAGTTTCCTCGCGAACCGCAGATAGTCAGCGCCTTCGCCGATAGCTTAGGCGCGCGCGAGGCAGTCCTGCCGCCTGCCGTCGCTGCCGTTGACGCCCGTCTGCAGACGGTGCCGTCTGGGTTAGCGCCATGGGATGGCTGCGGGAGTAGCGCCACATGGACTGCCGCACGTGAATCGTCGCCTGCTCTCGCCGTCTGACGCGCACCTCGCGCTCTTGCAGGCCATCCGTCTCTCGCGACGCAAGTCCATTCTCACTCGTCGACTGGCCGCCTCGCTTCGTCCTAGCGCGCGCTGCACCTGATTCGAGCCACCGTGGTCGCCCGCCATGGCGCCCCTTGCGCTGGGCGCCCGCCGTGCTGTGGTGGCAGCGCTGCTGCTGCACCTCTCCCTCTGCCGCTCTCTTGCCCGGCGCCCACCCTCGCCGCCGTCCGCGCCACCCAGAACGCCCGCCGCCGCCAGACAGCAGCAGCAGCCGCAGCAGCCGGCGTCGGGCGGGGCGCTCAACGCAAGCCTCGTTCTTCTGTCCAACAACCCGCTGGGCGCAAAATGCCTCGACGGCAGGTGAGAGGCGCGGCGAGGGAGAACGTTGGGGGAGCGACGCGAGCGAGAGGAGGGACGGAAGGGGCGTCAGGGCGGTAAGAATACCTAGAGGTAGCAGAGCGGCCTTTCTGGTTGCGCCGTCGGCGACGGAGCCTAGAGACCGACCGCGCGCAGAATTGAGCAACGCGCGCTCCCTCTAGCTTTGCTTGCTTTCCGAAGTAGGTTCTCCTCCCATCTCCCTTCTCCTCCCATCTCCCCTCTCCTCCCATCTCCCCCTCTCCTCCCGCCAACCAATCCCCATCCCGCAGTCCTCCGGGGTACTACTTCCGCCCGGGCTTCGGTGCGGGGAAGCGCTTCTGGCACATATTCCTGCCCGCGGGGGGGTGGTGCGCCACGCTCGCGGACTGCGCCCTGCGCGCCACCCACCCGCTCGGCTCCACGCGTTACTGGGCTCGCCTGAACGGCTCCGCCCCCTCGTCCACCTCGGCCCCTCCCGCCCCTTCACCTCCGTCCACCAGCCCGTCTCGCCCCTTGCCCCTCTTCCCCGCGCCCTCGTCCCCGACCTCGTCGTTTGACGACAGCGACGACTCGCAGGTCAGCCCCCTCCACCGCCCCCTCGCTGCCCCCCGCTCGCACCCCGCGTCACGCCCTCATCCCCTTAAATTCTGCCTGCCCCAGTCGCGACCTTTCTCCTCTAGCCTGCCAGCATTCCGCAACCCCCAATAGTTCCACCCGCACAGCCGCGCGCTGTAAGCCCACTGCTGTCACCCGTCCACCACCCTCCACCCTCCCTGCTGCGCTCTCCCATATTTCCCTACTTTCCTTCAATGCCCTCCCCGCCCCCCTTCCCCCACCACCCCCCCCCCTTCATTTCTTTCCTCCCTTCGTTCTCTCTGTTCCTTCATCCTCACGCGCCCTTGGCTCCGTCCCGCCGTGCAGAGCGCATCCCCTCTGCGCGCCGTGCCTGGGTTCAGCGGCATGCTGAGCGGAAGCGAGGCGGTGAACCCGGGGCTGTTCAACTGGAACCTCGCCATGCCCATCTACTGTGACGGGGGGGGCTACGCCGGCACTGCAGGCCGCGTGCAGCTGCCGGGGAAAGGCAATAACTCCATTTACCTCGACGGGTACAACGTCACGCGGGCCATTCTCGCAGGTCAGCCTCCCATTCCCCTCTCTTCTCTCTCACTAGCCGTTCAGCCGTTCTATTACTCATAGCGTCCAGTCATCCTGGCGCTACTACCTCCACCCCCCCCCCGGTTGCCAGTGTGCATGCCCATCTGACGCGTTGCAATAACGGACGCCCTCTATCCATGTGAACCCTTGAGGCCAGGCGTGCAGGTGAGGAGCATCAATGGCAGCACGGCCGACCTACTTGTCCTGCCACACCATCACCCTTCGCCTCCCCCCACACCTCCTGCCGTCCAACCTTACCTGCTCCCACATTTCCCACAGCACGCCTAGCAGAGCAGTCACTACGGTTGGCCAGGCAATGCTGCTGCACGAAGCAAGTGTGGCCACTTTTGCCCCGCCCATTGCCAAACAGCTATGCCCCGCCCATTGCCAAACAGCGATGCCCCGCCTATTGCCAAACAGCGATGCCCCGCCCATTGCCAAACAGCTATGCCCCGCCCATTGCCCCACTGCCTCGTCCTCTGCCGTCCCTTCGGCCTGCAGATCTCCTGGCTGTGCGCGGGATGGCATCTGCACGGCGCGTGCTGGTGGCGGGGGCATCAGCGGGCGGGCAGGCCGTGACAGCTTGGTGTGAGCGGGTGGCGGGCATGGTGCCGGGCGCTGCCACCAAATGCCTCATGGACTCGGGGATATTCCTGGGTGGGTGAAAGCACGTGCATGAGTCATTAGAGGAAAGCAAGTGCTTGCAGACATGCAAGACACTCTTTGCAGTGTCACATGTGCGAAGGATCTTGAGCCACACATGTGAGTCCCAACAGACCATACGCTATGCCTGCCCATGCCATCCCTCTGTGCAGACGCGAGGGACAGGGCGGGCGTATTGTACTTCCGCCAGGTGGCCAGGCAGATGACAGCGCTGCACAGGGCGCACGGCAACGACAAGTGCATGCAAGGTACTGCCGCAAGCCTCATCACCCATCTGCACCATCATATTGCAATCTCAGCAGTGTACAGCAAGTTCAGTTGCGGCGCGTACGTCATATCCTCAATCTCCTGAGAGGTGTAAGCTCAATCTAGCTGTTTCCTACATTCCATGTGTGTGCTTGTCTGCTCTCAGTGGAGTCACCCTCCACCAAGTGGCGCTGCTTCTTCCCGCAGTACACCTTGCCGCACATCACCGCGCCCCTCTTCCTGCTCTCGCCCCTTCTGGACCACCGCGCCCTCATGCTCGGCAACCAGGTGCGCAACGACTCGGGCTACGCCAAGCGGTGCCTGAGCAACATACTGCGCAGCACAGCCAACCTCACACACACCATGCGCTACAGCACCCGGCGCAACGCCATGGCGGGGAAGGTGAAGATGTGCACGCCCGAAGAGACCAAGGCTGTGCTCGTGGCCGGCAACACTCTACTCGCAAGTGTGACGGCGATAGTGCAAGACCAGGCAACATGGGTCGCGTACATCCCAGCTTCAGCAGCACATTGCTACACTTACTTCCCATCCTACAGTGAGATTTCTATAAAGCAATACTCATTAAAGAATGCAGTAGCCGACTGGGCCTTGGATGTGCGAACAAAACTGAGACTAAATGGCCCGTCATGATACCGTATACGCCCGGATAGAAGACAATAGTGTCTTATCATAACAGATTAAGAAAATCGGCCTTTCTGTCTTAAAAACGGTGAGAAGTTAGGTGTCTTTTATATTATAAATGGAACTTGTGTAACTTCATATTTACACCATGACGTGGTGGTGCTGTGCAGAGTTGAATCTCGGCCAATAGCAAACTCAAGCTATTCTGAGTATCGCGCACTCATCTCAACCGTTCGCCCAACCGTTTCATCCGAGCCGTTCACGCCAGCAAAAGGAAATACTAGCAAACTACTGTATAAAACCCTCCGGGAAAGTACATTGGCGCTCAGTATTAGGGGCCTCGATAATATGTACGGTCAGTGACGCAATATAAACAATCAGAATAAGCGAGTTCGCAACATGTTTCATCAGTCGCGTTCCACGGTTAGTCAGAAACTGTAGGAAAAAGTTCCACGAATGGTCAGTAGAAGTAACCCCCGCCCGTCCAGAACGTTTTCCCGCTCGCGCCAGCCCGATTTCGTCATCATTGTGGCAGGCGCGAAATTTCTCCCGAGCTCCAGGCGCAGTTCGAGAGAACAACGAAAAATATTCCCAAAATAAACATTCTTTGAACGTCGCGCACACAAAATTCCAAAATTGAGACCTTGCTCATTTCTGTCATATAAGCTAATCGGGCCACAGTGGGCCGCACATCGGGTGCGACATTGTTCAAACATTAACAAACACGCACACAAAAAATATATATATTTGACACACAAGGGCAAATCTATCCGGGATCCGCGCTAAGCCAGTCAGGCATCAATATTCTACTGTGCCGCGCATGCGGTAATTTTTTTCGAGCATGACGTGACTTGTAGAGTCGTGAATTAGCGGGGATTTTTATCAAACAGTGAAATTGATGAATTGAGAGGAAGAGAGTACACAAACATATACCTAACAGTTGTACTCTCTAGAAGATGACCCTATACAGTCTATACAAGCATGATAACTAAACATGTTTGACACACCCCCTGGACTGCATAGGGGAATGTTCTAGACAAGCAGCTCAGGGTGGCACTACTAGTCCAGCCTCTGAGACAAGGGTCTAAAAGACCAGTCAGAACGAGTACAGGCATGGCAAGAACTAGTACAGGGCGGCACTACTAGTCCAACCACTGTAAGAGGACACAAGTCCAGTCTGAGTGTACACACAGATATATAGGACAGTACAAAGTCAAGGCCCGAGTAAGTGAGAGACTACAGGAACCAGACCAAGCTGTACACAGTGCCGCTGATGATCTTTAGGCGCAAGCGCCTTCGTAAAGATATCAGCTGTGTTGGCACCGGAGGCTAAGTGTACTACGCGAGCCTGGCGACGCTGCTGTAGCTCACGCAGGAGGAAGTACCGCAGCTGGATGTGCTTCGCTCTGCCCTCGAGTCGAGGCTCCTGACACAGGAGGATCATGGCCCTGTTGTCAGCGTACAGGACCGGGGCAGAGCTAGGCCGCTCACCTAAGTCAGTGAGCAAGAAGGTCAGCCAGCGGAGCTCCTGTGCCGCCATGGCACCGGCGTAGATCTCGGCCTCACAGCTGGACTGGGCAACAGACGAAGAGCGGGTAGCTCTCCACGAGACAGCACCTGAGCCAAGGCTAAAGCAGTAGCCCTGGGAAGACCTGAGCGTCTCCGCGTCGTCTGCCCAAGAAGCGTCTGTGTGTCCAGTAAGGACCACTGGCCTGCGTCCGCCTAGCACTAACCCCATGCCCGATGTACTTGCAAGATAACGCAAAACCCTCTTAGCGGCAGACCAGTGCTGAGGTCGGTGTCTGCCTGTGGCCACGAACCGAGCCAGGATGCTGAGAGGGTATGCGAGATCTGGGCGAGTGCAAGTCATAAGGTACATGAGGCAACCCACTAGCTCAGCGTAAGGACCACTGGGATCTACCGACTCCTCAGGAACTGGAGCGGAGAGTCTGTGGTCCAGAGGAAGAGGGGTGGGCTGTGCGGAGGAGAACTGAAGGCCGAACCTCTGAAGGACCTGGCGCACCAAGTGTGACTGAGTCAGGGTGATGGTGCGCGCGGCTCTGTCCCTGGAGATCTGCAAGCCAAGGTAACGGCGCAGCTCTCCAAGGTCAGTGCAGGTGTGTCTCTTCAGCAGCTCTGCCTTCACGGAGGCCAGTGCGTCCCTGTCAGCAGTGGCAAAGACCAGGTCGTCTACGTAGACAAGGATGTAGAACGGAGTCGAGCCAGCACGAACGAAGAGCGAGGGGTCTGCAGAGGACGGAAAGAACTGCAGGTCAGCAAGGGTAGCACGCAAAGTGTCGTGCCACTCACGAGGCGCCTGGCGCAGGCCGTAGACTGGCCGCCGCAGAAGCCACTGGGTCCCAGGGGGGAAGGTGCCAGTAAAGCCCTGAGGGCGACGCAGGTAGACCTGCTCGTGAAGGCTGCCCTGAAGAAAGGCAGTGGAGAAGTCGAGGGAGTGAAGCTCGTAGTCACGCTGAGCCGCTACGTGTAGCAGAACCCGAAGAGTAGTCATCTTCGGGGTAGGAGCGAAAGTCTGAAAGAAGTCCACCCCCTCGCGCTGACTGAAGCCTCTAGCCACGTAGCGCGCCTTGAACACAGGCGGCTCTCCAGGAGGGCGCTTCACCTTGAAGAGCCAGCGGCCATCGACCACGTTCACCCCAGGTGGGGGAACTGCGTCGACGAAGGTGCCGGTGGATCTCCAAGATGCCATCTCCTGCTCCATGGCAGCTATCCACTGAGAGGCCCAGGGTCCCGAAACCGCCTCAGCGTAAGTACGAGGGGTCGGGATGTCGAAAGCGTCTGGGTCACCCTCAGGGACTAGCAGCATGGAACAGAGATGGGGAGCAGCCTCGGACAGGAAAGCAAGCTCAAACTGGCGGTCCTCTAGGACGTCACTGCCGAGGGCAGGAGCACCCCCGACAGACGGAGGACAGGCAGGGTGAGAGACCAGAGCGGTGGCGTAGTCAAGGCGGCGGGTAGAGGCGAAGTCAGCGACCGCAGCGACGAGGGCGTCAAGACTCGACAGTGGAACAGACGGGTCGGTAACAAGAGAGGCAAGGACCCGAGGAACAAGAGGACGAGCGGCACGAAAGTAGTCGGACAGAGGAGGAGACGCAACGACAAGAGAAGACGGAGGAGGAGACGGGAGGAGGGGAGGACGAGACGCGTGGGAACGGAGCAACATAGGGTGAGAGCGCGGGACAGGGGAGACAGGACGAGCACGAGCGGGGCGGCGAGACCAGACGTGTGAGGGCGGCGTCGGGTCAGGAGACAGAGGAGGGGACACAGGAGGGGAACGAGGGGGAAGACGAGCCGGGGACGAGTCTGGCAGAGGGAACACGGGGCCGTAGACGGGAAGAGGGGGAGACGGCAGGAGAGGAACAGGCGCAGGGTCAGGAGACGGGAGGCCGAGCAGACGGAGGGCGGTCACAGGCGGGGACTGCTGCTGCGGCGACACAACTCCAACACCAGGGCCACAAGCTGCGCGACGGCTACCTCCCGAACCCTCCACACCTGCACCCCCAGAAGGGACACCCCCAGAGCCCGAAACCCCGCCAGCACCGGTACCACCCCCAGGCCCGCCGGGACAAGCCACGACAGGAGCCCCGGGACTAGTACCCACCTCAACGCCAGCACCCCCAGAGTCCACAAACGGCGGCAGGGACGACAGCGGCGGCGGCGGCGGCAGCGACGGCTGCAACGGCGGCGGCGGTGGAGACGACGGCTGCAGCAGCTGCGGCAACGGCGGCTGCGGAGGCGGGGGAGGAGGAGACACCGGGGGAGGGACAGACGGCGAGGACTGCGCCGGAGGACTACCAGAGTTAGAGGACTCGTCGACCGGGACGACCGACGGGAGGGGGGTGACGTGAGACACACCAGAGGGGGCCGGACGGGGGGGCGGGGGAGGGGGGGGAGGGGCAGGGACCACCGGGGAAGGAGGGACCAGGAACAGGGGGGGAGTAACCGGGGGACCACGGTGAGGGAAGCGGCGGTAGAAGGAGACGGACTCGTCAAAGGTGACGTCGCGAGAGTGAAAAAAGCGGTGGGACGGTGGGTGGTAGAAGTGCCAGTCAGACGCGTCAAGGGGGAAACCGAGGAAGACGCAGGGGAGGGTGCGGGCAGTGAGCTTGTCCGTGCCAGAGGCACGAACGTGGGCAAGGCAGCCCCAGACGTGGAACGCAGACGCGTCACCAGGGGACCCGGTCCACAGAAGGGTCGGCGAAACCTGCGGCCGCTGGGGGTGCGGCCACAGGTTAAGCTGGTGAGCGGCGTAGCGCACGGCGAACGGCCACAGAAAATGGGGTGCACCGGCGTGGATCATGGAGGTGCGAGCCACCTCCATGACCAAACCGATGCGTCGCTCAGCGACCCCATTCTGCTGCGGGGAGTCCGGCAGGGTAAACGTCTGGGTGATGCCCTCCGCACGACAGAAGCGACCAAGGACACCTCAGGCAAACTCGCCACCCCGGTCGGAGTGGAGGCGCAAGGCAGGGAGACCGCGGTGGACACGAGCAGAGACAAGCCAGGGGATGAGAACGTCAGGCACGTCGGCCTTCCGCTCCAGGGGGAAGACGGTGGTGTAGCGCGTGAAGTCGTCGACAAGCACTAGGAAGAAGCGCTCGCGACGCGGCCCATGGACCGGGGCTGGGCCCCAGACGTCCATGTGTAGAGTCTGCAGTGGTGCGGTGGTAGGGGGAAAAGAGGAGGAGTGAGGGGCACGGCGGAGCCGGCCCTCTACACAAGGCGTGCACGGTGGGGCGGGGGAGGAGGGAAACTCGGGGAACGAACCGGGGAGACCAAGGACGAGACCGTGCTGGGACATGTGACGCAGACGCGGGAGTGCAGGGTGACCAAGGCGGTGGTGCCAAAGGAGAGTCGGGTGAGTGAGGGACCGACAGGAGCACGCGGCAGCAACCTGGGTGGACGCAGCTACCGGGGGGGAAGACCCAGCCGGGGACGTCGCGGTGTCAAGTGTGAACAGGCCGGACACCGGGTCCCGGGGGAAAGTGGTAAGGGGGGCACCAGTGGCGGCCTCGGTACAGACAGCATACCGCTCGTGACCAGGGAACGTAGTGGTG